GCCTGAAGAAAGGTATACATTTATTATTATAATAGTTCCAAATTATGGTGGATCATATTGATAATTGTTGGAGGAGTAATATTCCTTTTAGGTATAGGATATGTTATTTATCGTATGAAAAAAAATAAGAATGTTGAGGATGATTATGATGCTATGGCTTGAGATATTGTATTCATATTAAGAGAAATTATAAAATATTAATTATAAATATAATCTTTAATAAAATAATATAACTTATATTCTATATGAATGAAAATATATTAAATTTATCATTGTTATACACATTCTAAATCACCTTCCTTAGGTTTCTTCTTGTTTAATTTATCAAATTCCTATCTAATCTAATACTCTCTCTCTAATATTTGATCTGGTTTTGGATACTAATTATTATTTTTATAATTAATTTATTTACAGACACTATTAAAGTATTATTCTTATAAACATGAGTGACCTTTCCTTATTCGAGTTTGAGATTAGCTCTCCTCATATCAGGAATAGCAAATCTTTTAAAGTATTTTTTATTTGTTGTTCTAATAACAATTTCTTGAGTTTTTTCATCTATTTCAATTTGATAAACATCTTCTGGATAAATTAGATTACGAACTCTAAATTAAAAGTGTTATGGAGTATCTTTTCTTACAAATATAGGCTATTATATATTAATAAATGGTTACATTAGTATTAGATAATTTTAATTCGCTTTATTGATCGATTGGTGCTTCTCCAATTTCATAAACCCATTATGATTCTTTAATATTAGATAGCTTTTTCCATTTTCTAGCTGTTATTTACTTATTATTCAAAACTTACTAATTAATTCATGATTATTGATATCATATTCTTCAACAAGTTCACTTTTATCTTCGAATGTATAATTTACTCTTCTTCTTCCACCTGCAATTACTGCTGTAATATGTGGTTTTCCAACAAATTAAAGATATTGATTATTTTATGATTGCATCTCTATTTAAATATTTATATTAATAATTATAAATAATATAAAACTCTGTATAAAATAACAATCAATATAAATTATATATCAAATATCAAGTTATTTTATTTTATTTCTGATTTCGATATAATGTCCATAAGTTAAACGTACAGGTTTACCATCAGCAATTTATTCAATTTTAGAATCTACAGCAAATCCATAATGATCTTCGAAACATTCTTGAATGAGTGATGCTAATTAAAAATATGTTATCAAATAATCTAATAAAATTACACCACCTTCAATATCTATTGGTAATAATTATTGAGTATCTTGAAATATAATCTTCTATTCGAGTTAATATTCAATCTCTTTTATTGCACTTCTGAGAATAGAATTGAGAATTATATAAAAAGATTCATATTCAGTAAAATTATCATCAAATACAGCATCAAATTTTTTATCAACAATTAATAATTATTTTTATTCTGGATTCTATAAAGATAACCAAACAGTATTAAATTATAAAGTATATTTTTGATTATATTAATTAATAGCTGCACTCAATTTATTAAATTAACAATTCTATATATAATCTTAAAATTTATCTAAATTAAGAGTATTGTGACCATTAACTAATTCTTAGAGATTATTCATTTTAATCATTATATTCTTATTAACTAAAAATAATAATTTTTCTCTCAAATATGGAGTTGTTACAAATCTATATTTATCAATTAATGCTGCTACTCTATATAAATATCTGCAAAAGTTCATTTAAGCAACAATTATATAATCATTCTTTTTATTATCATTCCATTCCTCTTCTCTCTAACTAGAATATTCTTGATTCATAGATTAATTCACTTATGATTCTTTCCTTGATTCTTAAACTCTTTTTATTGATTTAAGTGGTTATTACTAAATTGAATTTTACTATTATCTAGCTATTGAAGATGTATTTTCTTTTCCATAATTGCTTTCTCTTTGTTACATTAACATCTATTATTTATTATTATTATCCACTAAAGGTGATGTAGTATTTATACAACCATTACTTTAAACACCATTAAATTAAAGATGATTTGCTTAACCACCATGACTACCTCTAAAAATACTAGAGAATCCATTTCCTTTAATTACTTATAATTCTTATTTTTATAACCATATATGTCTTTCTAATTCTTCAACTGTTGCTCTTCTATATTCATCTACTATTAAACATCTCTAAATAAAATCTCTACATTCATCTGAAATATGTCCTGGAAAATTAACAGGTACAGTAGCCATCTTCTAAGCTAATTCTCTTTCAGTTCCAGCTTACCATGGAACTTAACCAAATAATAATTCAAATAAACTAACACCTAATGCCCATATATCAGATTTTTCAGAATATCTATTTTTAAATGCTTAAGGACTCATATACAATGGTGATCCTACATTAACATTGGGCATTGTAGTAACAGTCTAAGGAGTAGTAGCAAATCCAAAATCTGCTATTTTAGGTATTTATCCTTTTAATAGAATATTGGCTGGTTTTAGATCTCTATGTACAATCCCTAGAATATATAATATAAAATTTACCCTTTTATTTCATCTATTTATATCCCTATATTATTCCTTAAAATAATTTTTATAACTATGGTTCTTTTTATGCTCCTTATTTAGTTAATAATGAGCCCAAATCACCAGAGTCACAATACTCTGTTATTAGATAAGTATTATTTTCTGTATAATATACTTTGTATAATCTCATTATATTATTTGAGTTTAGTTATGATAATGCTTCTACTTCTGATTTCAATAATTAATAATGTAATGGTGTTTTGAGTCCTTTTTTATCAATAACTTTAATTGCAACAATTTCATTTGTTTCATCATTTCTACCTCTATACACAACAGAACTGAAACCCTTTCCAATAGCATCTGTAAGTGCATAACTGAAGTTTTCAATAACTTTTCTTGCATTACTTGGAATGGGTGTAATTGGCATTTATCTTTATTGCTGTTAGACCAACATAGTGTAGTTTATTTTTTAATTTTTTAATTTCAACGGTAAAAGAACAAAAAAAAATTTAATAATAAAGCTCTTATAATATAAATTTTTCTATAAATCTTCTAATGCATATAAAAATTTGAATAATATAATCATTTCATACATTTTTCTTATAAAAGATCTTTATATTTAGATGTTCCTTATAATCCATCATCCATAATCAATCTAAATAGATTTTTTGAACTAATCTTAATATTTGATTCCAATCTACTAAAATATGCTTAATGAATTTCTTAACCCATTTTCTGATTTACTATATCTTGTAATCTTGATTTCCCTTTAGATAATTTATCTACAACTCTATCAATAATCTTTCTAAATCTTATATATCTACTTCTTAAATATGCATTAGATATTTCAACCATATCTTAAACCATTTTTGTATGTTATTTAATTCTAGCTTCAGTAGTTTTCAGTGTCTATGGATTATAATTGATTTCCATTATATGAAGTTTAAGATCATCTGTTAATAAAAAATCAGCAGCAAAGAATTCCCCTAATTTACTATCTTTTGCAAATGTATTTTATGCACTTCTGATTGCATGAATAATCATTCTATCAATTTAAGGTAATAATTCTTATTTTAACCATTTTTTATTTTTTATTTTACCTTATTTCAGTAATAATTCTTATAAATAATCAAGTTTCCAATCTATATAAAGATCTTCTTAATTAATTTGATCAGAAATAGAATTATTTATTGTATTATTATTATTATTATTTTTATTAATAGTAGTAAATTCATCATCATTATCATCATCATTATCATTCTCATCTTGTTCCTAAGATTCATTTTACATAGATAATAAGGTTTTCTTAACAATTGCTGTATTACAAACATGAGCTCCTTTAAGTGTTGAAAATTTATCATATGGATAAATACATCTTCTTATAAGTGTTTTATCATATGCATATGCAATCAATGGATTTGTTGATGCAATAATCCAATAAACTCTAAACTCTATTTTATGTCCCTTAAATAATAATGGATTTCCTATATATTATTAAGCCACTCTATATGTCTTAATTTATCCACAAATCTAACCATACTAAAATTTCTCTTTCAACTCTTCAGTTTCTTTTGGAAACAACATTGTTATTCCTCTACCTCTATGAACCTCTAATCCCATTTTTACAATAAATTAAGGACCTTCTGTTTTTACTATATCTTAATACTCTGTTGAATTCAAATAAGTAAAAAATTACTTACATTCAGACTCTTCAAAAAGTCTATAAGTTTTAGGTAGAAAAGTGGCATTAGTCTAAATATAATTAAATTTATTACTATGCAATCCTCATCAAGACCTTTATTTTTGATATCATTTAAATAATTAAGTTAATTAGTCATTAATTGATTTTTGTGAGACAAAGAGGATCTTTAAGGTAAATGATTATAATTTTAAAAGAGACATAGAGAACCTATTCTGAATAAGGAAATAATATACTTTATCCAACTTTAAAGTTATATAGTAGTTAATCATAATAAGTATATGGTAATGTTAATTATAAAGGGAATTTATATTAATGAGGTACTAAAAATAACATTATTGGTTACTCTTTGTATTTCTTTTATAGAGTGTGACATTTGGTAATACATCAAAGAAATGTTATTAAAGTGCCTATTTAACTAGACCTGAATACTCTCGAAATGTATATGTGTCTATCATAATTGAATTTGGATGATAATATTTATAAGTATCTGATTAGATGCAATAATCATGTTAAGGTTATACAAGAATTGAATTGAACTACTTAGAAAATAATTAGTTACTTATCTATCATATGATTGAGGATTATAATAATTTTATGATATAAACTTATTCAAGAAACCAATAAATATTTCAACATCCTTTTAGTATTTATAAGTGACTATTTCTGTGTATAATAAACCTATAAATGTTAATGATAAGGAAGAAACTAACAACGTAATCAAATTTGCTAACATTATTAATAATAATTACACGTACATATTTAATTGTAATTACAAATCAAGAAATAACTAAAAATTTAATAATGGATCCACAATAACATAAAATAGTCGATATCTTATTTGAAGAAATAGATTCCACTTAAACACATGCTACAAAGGAATACTAAAACCTTTATAAAGGTTAAATCACTGTTTTAAGAGCATTACATCAAACTGCCGGTAGAGGTTAGTTTGATAGAAAATGGGAATGTTAATCAAAAAGAAACATCTTAACTACAATAATCTTCCCTTATTTTACCAATTTATAGTATTTAAAGAATATTACTCCAGTTATTGGATACACAATAGTGAAACTCTATAAGGAACTATACAATTTAGATGCTGAATTGAAGTGGGTCAACGACATTGAACTTAACTCAAAAAAATCAGGTGGAATCTTAACAGAATCAGAATAAATAGGGGATGAATTGGTATTATATGTTGGAATAGGTCTTAATGTGAATTGGTGTATCTAAGGAGCTACATGTCTTGAAGAAAATACAGGTAAAGAAGTTGATCAAGAAGAATTATTTTAGAAATTAAGAGAAAGAGTAATCAAAACCTTGTATTAATTGAATGAACATGGTTTTGAAATGTTTAGAGAAGGAATCAATTAGATTTTATATAGAAAAGGATAATTATGTGACTTTGTAGATTCCAAAACTTTAGAAATAGTTTATTCAGGAATTGTTGAGGAATTGAACAAGAATGGAGACCTTATTATTAGAGGTCAAGATGGATTATCTAGAGTGGTAGATCCAAATGTGAGAATGAAATATGATATACATATTTCATATTAAAGAAAAATAATTATTTTTTAAAATTTATATTAAAATGAGAATTTTAAAAAATTATTTAAACTTCTACTTATATCATAATATATTTAAATGGTTTACAAATTATTAAAAATTAGTATAAACAAACTATGGGAGATGAGTTTTAGCAACAGATTTAGTAGTATTGATACAAGTTGATATTACAAAGAAGCTAGCTGAAATTCATCATACTCAACAAACTAATAGAGATTTATTATAAAATTTTGCTAGATTTTGTAATTGTGTGGGTATGATTACAAATACTTAAAAAGTATAATAATTTATTTCAGGATTGTGTTGCTTTGATTTATATTACTTTTCCTTATGATAATCAAGTGGGCTCATAAATAATTCAAGTTTTAGGAGAGAATGGATATATATAGGAATATCCAGTAGGTAGAATTATGAGATTACTTATAATTTTATTAGATTACTGTAGACATAAATTAAAGTAGAAAATGGTTGATTTTAGATAATAAAAATAGGAATATTAAATAAAAATATTATTAAATAAATATGTTTTATGGTATATAATTATCAGCAGGGGAATCATAAAATATTTAGAATGTAGATGATCATAATTAATTTGTATTATCATAAGCAGTTTTGGTTAAGGGTAACAATATTAATGTATTAATGAATGGAATAGTCATAGCTTCGTTGAATCAAGTATGATTATATTGATGAATAGAAAAATTCTTAAATGTCTCTTAGAATTAAGATCACACCTGAATAACAAATAGCAAAGCTTGAAGCAAAGGGAAATGGAACTGTTCATTTATGTGGATATCACATGAAATTTGATTTAGAAAATGAAGATGTTAATTTACAATCTGTAGCACAATTATTAAAATAAAATAATCAAAAAACTCAAAATCAAATTTAAAAATAATCTGTTATTTCTATAATTGATAATTAACCAAAATGGGATGAAATGGATTGGGAAGATGAATAATTTTAAAAGAGAATTAAATGATAAAATTAATTTAATTATGTGTAATATAATAAACTTTATACATATACATAAATCATCTATAGTAAATTGAAATATATTCAAAATTTTTGTATATTTTCTAAGAAATTAAAAAATTTATCTATCTAACGAATTTATGGAGAAGGGTTAATCGATATTGATTTGATAGTTCTACAACTATTATGTGTTTTTCCAAATGAAGTTGATTTATGATCAAAATCATTTTTGGATTCAACATAATTAGAATTTACCATCTTTTTATTTGGAGTAGAACTAATTATAATAATAATATAATCTTACTATAATGAATTATTTACAACTTTTAAAGTGATATTTTTTTATTTAACTTTTAACTTAAGTTATTCATTTTCGTAATGATTAAAAATATTATGTGATTTCATGTTTAATTTCATCCATTTACATAGGTAAATTTATTCAATACTTGGTCTTAATTGAGAATTCTTAATTAATAATGCTTAAATTAAATTCGTTAGATCTTCATTTATGTCATTTCTGCTTGGTATTATCAATTAATCATATAATATATTTCTTATTAATTGATCTTAATTATCTCCTTAGAAAGGGAATTTGCCATACAATAATACCTACATATAATGATTAAATACATATAATATAACTCCTAATGACCAAGCATCTAATTTGAAATCAAGTGAAGATTTCGATACAACTTCTGGCGGCATATATTCAGTAGTCCCACACATTACATTTGGAACTGACATCTAATCAACCTTTATAGCCCAACCAAAATCACATAATTTTAAGGTACCATCTTCATGTATTAAAATATTTTCAAACTTATTTAGATTTAATACTTACTTTCAAATCTCTATGTATGATGTTATTTTAATGTAAATAATTGACTCCATCAAGAATTTAATGGAATACTTGAAACACATCATCATCATTGAAAGGAGTTTTCGGATCAATGAGATGTCCTTTACTGCAATATTCAAGAAGTATATAAATGTTGTTACAATCCTCCCAATAAGAATATAGTCTAACAATATTTTTGTGATTGCAAGAAACATGAATGTTGATTTCATTTTATATCATGGAACTGGCATCATACTTTTAAATATGGGCTTTGGATATCTAAATATATAGAAATAATCATATGTACAATTTTGCATGCATATTCTTATTTACTATTTAGTTCCTTGACCAAATAAACAGATCCGAAGGAACCAGAACCAAGTAATTTAATGGATTAATACAATTAACCCGATTCTGCAATAATCATCCTGTTAATAAAATTTATTATTAAGATGAAAGCCTTTATGATTTATGAGGTAATAATCTATAATTAAATGATGCAAATTAATATTAATAAATATTATTCATCAAACAAATCAAGCTTCGCACTTAACATGAGTATATTTTAATTAAACTATATTATTTTCTATCTTTTACTTCTGAATTATAATTAAACATATATTAATTTAATATTATTATGATAAACATTTAATTTAGAAAAGTAGAAATTTTATCAATTAATAATTCTTCATCAAAATGCAGATGATAACTTACATAAATATTTGACATTAAAGAGAATAGATTCTATAAAATTATAAATATTCATACATACATTGTTGTAATTTAATAATTTTCGATCAAAGGAATATATAAATTTATAATTTTTTAAACATCCAATAAAAAGATTGTCACTAATATTAGAGATAATATTCTCTCTCTCTGATTATGTGGATAAATATTTATTTTTATGATAATTCAATTCTGGCGGAATAATAATTGCAAATTCATTCATCACTTTCCTAAGTGTTAGCAATTTGTTCTTCTGCTAGATCAAATTGATATAGTTCTTGCATATCTATATCCTAATTATAATTTATTTCATTACTCCATCATACTGATATTGGTTATAAATATTAAAAGAATGATCTTCCATATTTACTTTCCAATTAAGGCTATCTTCAAGATTTATATATTTGTTAGTGGGGCGGCATTTACTTTGAGAGGAATTAGTGGCATTAGTGGTATTAGTGGCATTAGTGGCATTAGTGGCATTAGTGGTATTAGTGGTATTAGTGGTATTAGTGGCATTAGTGGTACTTTGACTTATAGGTTGACTCATTTATAAATTAAAAATAATATAAATATTATTGTTGAAACCTCACTCATCTCAATTCTGGCTAAACAATTTTAAGAAATGATTCTAAATGCTATCCTTAATATTTAATAAATTCAATTTCCTCTTTTCTTTTTATTCTTTAATTTAATTCCTTTTTTTTATTTTTTTATCTAATGAATTCTCCTAATTAAGTAGATCGATTCTCTAAATAAATTTATTTAATACTTCCTCTTTTAATTTCTATTTCCTCTATTCCAACTATACTATTTTATCTTCTAATTCATTCTTCCCAATTTCCGATTATAATTATCTTCTCATTCCAAAAGTAACTGAAAAATTGCACAATTAGTTTATCTTTTTGTAATTTGATATTTAAATAATAACAAAATATGGCAAATTTATTCATTTAGTGTATAAGGTTTAATATGCTGCAATAGTAATCTTGAGTTCATCCCTCACTCTCATCAATAGTAAACCTAAGTTATAATAAATTAAAACAACCTCTCTCTGGACAATCAATTATAACTTATCTAATAATTTCATCAAAACATTGACTCAACAATTCTTCTCTTATTGGACAAATACTAATTTCTCTAGAATAATTAATTTTCAATTAAAAATACTTTGCTTATCTTGCTAACAATCGTCCATCCAAAAGTTTTTGTAAATTGCCAACATCTTCTCTTGTAGCTGCCACATGTGATACATATTGTATTTGGTTTTGATTCTAAGGAAATAACTAAGCCTTCTTTTTTCCTTAAAGTCCTTTAGCATCATTGAGATTGCTAACTTCAATAGGATTCTCATATTTGACCAAAGATTCTAATGATTTACAAAATATATAAGTCTAAGTAATTGATTTACTCAGTAACTTTTTATTTATATTAATTTAGTTTATTTATTCATAATTAATTTAATCATTTAATTAGTTTTCTTTCTGCAAGTTTTAATTTTGGTAAACTAGTTCTTTCTTCTTCTACAGTTTTATTTAATAAATTAAATGAGTTTTTCTTAGATGATTTAGGAATTTTTCCATTTATTGGTAAAGATGAATTTAAACTATTTCTAAATTATAATTATTCTAACAATTCTAATCTCTCGATTACCCTCTTTCTCTCACTCATTAATCTCTTTTCCCTTTATAACATTTAATCACTAGCTTCAACATATCCCAATTTAGTTTGCATTTTATTTCCTCTATCCTTATAACGAATTGTCACTTCCGTCTTTTACATACTTGGATTACTTACTATTAATAGACCATTATTCGAGAGCTTTGTCTATTAATAAGTATTGTATTATTATTTATCAACTTCTGATCCTGAAAATCCTTCTTCAGATCCATGCTTCATCAAATGAGAACTTTCTGAATTTTCATGAGATTAAGATTACAATTTTTATAATTCCTCTCTCATTTTTCTATTCTCTTACATCAATTTTTCCACTTCATTAACTGATAAATTTGCTTATCTCAATCTCTCATTTTCCTCTTAAATTTTCATTAATTTAAAATGCATATCATTACTATTCAATCCTTTTCTCTTCATATTAAGTAATTATTTTAAATAGTCAATCTATATTTATATATATTATCTACCTCCTTTAATAATTTATTAACTAATTCCTGATCTGTTGCATTAATCTAATTTGCTTATACTATTTAAGTAATATTTCGAGCTCTTTAAGCAAATTTCAATGAATTTGCTGTCTCATCAATATTATATATATTTGGAGCAACATTGACAAATATATTAGTTAATGTATTACCACCAAGACTATCTTATAATAATCTAGTAATTTTTGATTCTCTATATGGAATAGGCAATTTGTTAATATTTTTATTATTTTAAGATAAATTTTGTATTACTTTCCCTAAAGTAGTAAGAGATTAATTAATGCTCTTTAATTCAATTAAGTGAGCATTAGTCATTGAGTCTTATTTATTGATCTTTTCTGATCCAGCTAAATCACATAAATTGATTTTGGATCTCAATAATTATCCACCTGAATCAGCTTTACTAGTTTCAATTAATAATTGAAATATAGTGTGACTTCTACTTGATTTTAAATTCATTGTTGTTTGTCTAATCATTCTATTTTTCTCTCCTCTCTTCATCAATGTTAAACAATCATATAAATTATTCACTGCATATTCAGTCAATTATTCTAATATCTTGGATTATATTTACCAACATAAATTCCTTCTGTTTTTGATTCATGAATTTATAAAGCTTGGGGTATTTTATGATCTTGCAATAAATCATAAATTTTTTCATTGTAGATTTACAAGAATGAACAGTAAACATAATAACCCTATTATAAATTATTAAATAGAGTATAAATAGTTCGAGGTATCATACCTGCATGATTCTAATCTGTTTATAAATCATCAATAAATGTCGATTAATGTCCCAAACTTATATTAAGTGAATACTCCCAGTCACTCCCAAACATTGTATGCGTTTTACCTAATTAAGAACTACAGAAATACCACTGCCTGTTTAACCATATGCCATAATCGTTGTATTGTATCCTTGCAATGCCTTATGAATAGTTGGAGATATAAATTTAAATATTTCTGCTTAAGATACTTTCTCATCAAACACTTAATCATATTCCTACTTTAGTATATGTGTAGATTGTTCAATCACTACATATTTTTGCTAATTTTTAGGAACAAATAGCTACTTGATCAGTCTTTATAATGCACTCTTATCCTTACTCTTTTTTCAATAAAGGTCTTACTCTTACATAAACCTTTATTGATTGTTGTTACAAGGATGATTTATTTAATTTTGATTGTTACATTTAATAAGTGAAAAAATATATATTTCATATATTATTATTTATATAGATATTTGTTTATCTTTACTATATAAATTATCATCTAATTCTTTAAGGAGATGTTACTTAACTAATTATTTATTCTAGATTCTTTCTTTATTATGGTGATTGAACACGAGACAGAAGATTATCTATAACTTCTTCATGTTACCCACTTTCACTTTTTTATGTTTTTTTTATTGGGTAAAGCATATGTTAAATTAAATTTTATATCTTATTAACCTTATTTGGTTTCTTTTCAGAAGAATACTATTAACTGTTTGCCATCATAACTCTACTTTTTAAATGGATATTCTTTATCACAATTCGTTAATCAACAATTGAGATTTCATCATTTGTATATGGAGGATACTGATGGGATTATTTTTGAATTGTTAGAATTTAATTTCTTTCAAATTGTCCTTCTGTCAATTATTTTGAATTGTAATTTAAATAAAAACCTTAAGTTTAATAATTAATAATTACCTTAACCTTAAAATATTCCATTTTTCAATAGACCATCATATATATCTCCACTCTTGAATATTATTTTACCTCTTCCATTAAGCGATCCATTTTGAAACTATCCCATATCTACTCTTCCATTATTATACTAAATTATACCCAAACCTGTTAAATCACATTGCAATCCATAAACAATTCTATCGTTATGAATATAAATTTATGGTAAATGATTCTTCAACATTATTTAAATATCCTCTATTAATTAAGGTTCTTCATTCAAACAAACTCGTATACCATCCTTATATTAGACAACTTCTTTTCCTCTTCTACCAATTTTAATACCAATCCCACATTATTTGCCTTCTTTAAAATGTCCTTAATAGACTTATCCATTTTGATATGACAACTCACAATTACCATCAGCATATCCCTCCTTAAATTCTCCTTTAATATAACCTCCAACATTAAAGTAGTAGACTCCAAATCCATGAATAACATTATTTTTCCATTCTCCATAATAAAAACTCCCATTATTAAAATGACATGATCCAATTCCATTAGGTTTATTCATTTTCAATTATCCCCAATATTATCCATTTGATAATTTAAGATTTTAGAATGACTATGATTTTTCAATAACAGAATTAATAGAACTATATTTAGTTGAATCGCGATTGAATGATTAATTTTCTTTATCTCTCCACTTTTTAATAATTAAATCATGACTGATATTTTAGGGCATGTTCTCATCATTTTTCATGTGTTTATAATCGTTAAAATTAATTAAAAATATTATCATATAATCCATTTAACTAGTTTACCATCCTACCATATTCCCTTTCTAGTCTTTCCATCAACTGTAATGTAAATACCCTCTCCATGTTATTATCCAAATTTCCATTCTCCTCTGTATTCCTTACCATCAACCCAACGATATACTCCATATCCATGCTTTTAGTCATTCAAATAATTTCCAGTATATTTTCGACCGTCGATCCAATTATATTCTCCTTATCCATTCATCATACCATTCTTCCATTCTCCAACATACCCTTTCCCATCAATCCAATGATAAACACCATATCCATGTATTTTATTATTCAACCATTATCCCTCATAATAACTTTTATCACTCCATATATATTTACCCTTACCACATTTATTACCTTTTACATATTAACCTTCATAACATGATCCATCAGCCCATTTCTCTTTACCAAATCCATGTTAATAATCATCTTCCCATTCTCCTTCATAATAAGGTTCATTAGGGGATTTCAATATTCCATATCCACATGCTTTATTATTCCTCCAATATCCATCATATTCTATTTTATCTGCATGATGAAATATTCCCTTCCCATTAGCTTTATTATGTTGCCATTCTCCTTCATAATAAGCTCCATCATGCCATTTTTAAATCCCATATCCATGTCTTTCATTACCTAACCACTATCCATTATATAATTTAATCAATCTATAGAATCAACACTTTAATACTTTTATGATTTTGACTCATTTTCTAATCTATCAAAGTAACTACCTGTTGATTTACTTACTTGACTAGTTAAATTGGTTTAACTCTTTCTCATTGAATAAGTTTCTTTCCTGACTTTATATCCTCTCCAGTGAGATTATATTGTAACTATGGCTTTTACCTTTTTTTATTTATCTTCAACCATATCAAAAAAGCTTTTCGTGATTAGTTTTGATGATAAACACTTATTTCCCATCTATAATGTATTCTATTAAACATTATTTTTTGAACTTTGTTTATAAGAGGATTCTATTTGTTTATCTGATAAAATTGGTTGCTACTCACTTTTCTAAAATTCAAACATATCATTACGGTAATTTCTATATCTCTTTTATAGCATCCAGTACATTATCCTGCACAATTATTTCCCATTTATAAAATAATTAATAACTGAATATTAGGCATTTCACATTTGTTGAGTTAAAACTAAATATAACTGATATGAATATTAAGAACCCATAATTAAAAAATATTTATTTTTTCTTACCAATATACAAAACTCATTTACTAAATGTATGATGAAAACATTCGTTATCGGCCTTAGAGCATACTGTTGTTACTCACATACGAACCCGTGAGTAAGCCTGTGTGTTCTGTGATTAAATTAACCAATCTGATATTTATATTTAAAAGTCCACACGGATTACTTTTTTTTAATAGTCCATTCAAAACAACTTATTTAGTTATTAATAATATCTAAATATTCAATAATTAATTATATATTTAAGAAATCATAATAATCATTTCTTTTAATTTATTTAATGTAAAAATAAGAATATTTTAATACTAAATAATCAATTTTAAATATTGAGGATGATAACATTTCAAAAATACAATTATTAAAAGATGTTGAACTTCATATCCAAATGAAAATTAATGATAGAACATAATCACATTCTTTAGCATTAATTATATGAAAATTAATTCTTTTTATATTATAATTTGATTATAATTTGAAAGTATTCTGTATCTGAGGAATAAAATTTCAATTAATACAATTTAATTTTGATTAAATACATTTTATGTAAAATTCTATATACTTTTGTTGGAATTAAGGTCAAAAAAAGATATTCAAAAATAATCACTAATTACTAAGGTTCTTTTCTTTAAAATAAAAAAAATAACTTATTATATATATTTTAAATCTAAAATATAATTGTTAAAACTAAATTTTATATTTTCAAAATTGAAATCATAATAAATTTCAGAAAAATTATTCTCTTTTTATTTTATCCTCTTAAAAAGAATCAAAAAAATAAATTTCTAAAAATTTTTTCTTTTTAATGAATATCATATTTTTTTGGAAGACAATTTGTTTGCTATGATAATTTTCCAAGACTGCTCTCAAATGATAGAGTACAGCATAAACTTTATTTAATCAAGAATTCCTTCTATTATATAAAACGAATTATTAGTAAATTGAGAGCAGAAAAGGTAAAGATTTTAAAGTAATTTTGTTTTAAGCAAATATATTTTGTATTTAAAGAAAACAGAATTATCTTTTAAGTTTTTTTTAGCTAGAAATTTTAAATTATTTTTATAACTTTAAATCATATATCAAGAGGGGAAAGAAGAAGAATCTCTTTTATAAACTAAGTGATATTTAGGGTTTATTTATGTAAAATTAGTAAAATTCTGTATCAATTTATAATTTCTAATCATATAATTATACTTATTAAGAATAAATTAGATTTAAAAATAGATGAGACTGAATCTCATATGAGTTTATAATACATGATATTTTGATTAAGTAATTACATGTTGTTTAAATTTATTTAATTTATATAAATAAATAAATATGAAATACAATAATTTTATATAACTTATAAAAATCAATCTTCAGAATAATAATTTATGATTAAGAAAACTAGGAATATAGTAATCTTTGGAATACATCTATTGTAATAAAAGTTTTTAAGCTAAATTAATTAGAATGATAACATAAGCATGAAAATTCATGGGTAACGATATGATCAATGATGATAGAAAATGTAAATAATAACACTTTAATCATAAAAAGTGATTTAATTGAGAAGAATAATATTATATAAAATTCAGTTATTGAGATAAAGTATTTTAATATTATTATAGTAGCATAGTTTAACGTAGATATAATTTTGATAAATAATAAAATAAATAATCCAATTTCTAATTAAACAGAAAAGATTAGACAAAGAGTTGAAAATAATAAATTTTAGTGTTTAAAATAAAAAGAAATATTTAAGAATCGTAAATAAAAGAGATAGCATTCATATTAATAATACTATAAATAAGGTATATAAGAAATTATTATATGAAGTAATGATTTTAATTTGATGTCTTTATAAATAAAAATTATATATTATATTAATATAATAGGTATTAGATATAAAATATATTATTATATGATAGAATACTTTATGGCAGGAATCTTAGTTTGTTTTAGTACAATCTTTATAATATTGAGATGTTTTTAGAGACCTCCTCTTTAAAGAATTCAAAATATAAATTATACTCCTAGTGGTATAAGAGAAATGTACAAATAAAGAAAAACTAGAAGTAGAGAAAAAGTATATGCAATTGATAACTGAAACTATAATATAAAAATTATTGATATGAAATAGTTTAAAAAATAAAAGAGTAATTAGGATAGACAATAGGATAAATTCTGTATTAATGCTGCAGCACTATAAGATCATTTAAGTAGATAACTCTTTAAGTTACCTAAAATAAATTCTAAATAATTATCTTTAGCTTAAAAATTAGGATTAGTACCATCACCTCCAAAACCTTTAAATTAAGAAGAATGGGCTTAGATTGAGGAACAATCTTTAAAAAGGGAAGATATTTAAAATTGTGTATGTCCTATTTGTTTAGAGAAATTCAGAATGCAATAACATGTAATTTTGAGTTGTAGTCATATTTATCATTAAACCTGCTTAGAAAGTTTTGAGAGAGTCTCATAAACAAAATAATGTCCTATATGTNATGATATTTTGATTAAGTAATTACATGTTGTTTAAATTTATTTAATTTATATAAATAAATAAATATGAAATACAATAATTTTATATAACTTATAAAAATCAATCTTCAGAATAATAATTTATGATTAAGAAAACTAGGAATATAGTAATCTTTGGAATACATCTATTGTAATAAAAGTTTTTAAGCTAAATTAATTAGAATGATAACATAAGCATGAAAATTCATGGGTAACGATATGATCAATGATGATAGAAAATGTAAATAATAACACTTTAATCATAAAAAGTGATTTAATTGAGAAGAATAATATTATATAAAATTCAGTTATTGAGATAAAGTATTTTAATATTATTATAGTAGCATAGTTTAACGTAGATATAATTTTGATAAATAATAAAATAAATAATCCAATTTCTAATTAAACAGAAAAGATTAGACAAAGAGTTGAAAATAATAAATTTTAGTGTTTAAAATAAAAAGAAATATTTAAGAATCGTAAATAAAAGAGATAGCATTCATATTAATAATACTATAAATAAGGTATATAAGAAATTATTATATGAAGTAATGATTTTAATTTGATGTCTTTATAAATAAAAATTATATATTATATTAATATAATAGGTATTAGATATAAAATATATTATTATATGATAGAATACTTTATGGCAGGAATCTTAGTTTGTTTTAGTACAATCTTTATAATATTGAGATGTTTTTAGAGACCTCCTCTTTAAAGAATTCAAAATATAAATTATACTCCTAGTGGTATAAGAGAAATGTACAAATAAAGAAAAACTAGAAGTAGAGAAAAAGTATATGCAATTGATAACTGAAACTATAATATAAAAATTATTGATATGAAATAGTTTAAAAAATAAAAGAGTAATTAGGATAGACAATAGGATAAATTCTGTATTAATGCTGCAGCACTATAAGATCATTTAAGTAGATAACTCTTTAAGTTACCTAAAATAAATTCTAAATAATTATCTTTAGCTTAAAAATTAGGATTAGTACCATCACCTCCAAAACCTTTAAATTAAGAAGAATGGGCTTAGATTGAGGAACAATCTTTAAAAAGGGAAGATATTTAAAATTGTGTATGTCCTATTTGTTTAGAGAAATTCAGAATGCAATAACATGTAATTTTGAGTTGTAGTCATATTTATCATTAAACCTGCTTAGAAAGTTTTGAGAGAGTCTCATAAACAAAATAATGTCCTATATGTAGAAGGTAGGATTATGAAAAGAGGCAATTTATGGTTGCTAATAAATAATATAAAATCTAATCAATAATTAAAATATAAGCATTATTTAGATAATTTAGATGTAGAAAATAGTTTTATGAGAGGATGATAAAAATGTAATATAGACCAGAAAATAGCTTATTGAAAAGGAAATTACTTTTTTATAAATTATCAAGGATTTCAACAAGAATGTCAAAGACAATTTAATAATAGGGTAATTAAGCATAATAAGCAATAAATCAATTAGGTGAAAATATTCAAATAAAGTAAGAATAGATGGAAAATAATTTAAATAAGATATACTAAATTAAACATAATAATGAATTGATGGCTAAATTATAACCAATAATAAAAGTGGATTGGATTAGAATAAAAAAATTGGCTTTAGAAAGGAAAGAAGTAGATTGTACAATTTGTTTATAGAGTATGGTAAATGCTAAAGTGTTTTTACTTAGTTGTTCACATATGTTTCATGCTAATTGTTTGAATTCTTTTGAAAGATATTCAATGTCTTAGATTAATAATTGTCCAATCTGCAGATAGACTTATCAAAAATCTCATTTTTAGTTATAATAATGATTTAATATAATATAAAATTGATAGTTCTCTTCATATTATTAATATAGGATTGCAAATTTTAAATTTAGTATTCATTAATATAATTTTAATTATAAGTAATAATTATATGGACATAAAGGAATAATATGCATAGTATACACAAAAAAATTACACAGCTAATGTATTTAAAGTAGGGGATCATAATTTCATATTGGACAAAAGATATAATCCCACAAATCAATTAGGAAGTGGAGCCTATGGAGTGGTCTTACAGGCAGATGATTTGAAGGCTCCTCCTGAAGGACCTAAAAAAGTGGCAATTAAGAAAATCGAGAAGACTTTTTAACACCGTTTTTATGCTAAACGTACATTAAGAGAATTGAAAATATTGAGGAATCTTAAACATGAAAATGTATTCTTTAACATATCTCCTAGATTGTTAATTTAATTACCATAGCTTTGCCCAAATCAAGAGTATCAATGAATGACATGTAAAGTAATGAAATAATTTTAGTTATTTGGTTACAGAATTGTTGGATACTGATTTACGTAAAGTATTGGAAAGAGAACATGCTAAATTAACAGAAGATCATTATAAATTATTTCTATATCAAATCTTAAGAGGAATTAAATATATGCATTCTGCCAACATTTTACATAGAGATTTAAAGCCAAGAAATATACTCTTAAATAAAGAAGATTGTATGTTAAAAGTCTGTGATTTTGGTTTAAGTCGTGCATTACTTAGTCAAGGATTAAATGGTTAAAATCCAAATGTGATGACTGATTATGTTGAAACTAGATATTATAGAGCTCCTGAATTACTTCTAGGATTGAAATAATATACAAAAGCTGTAGATATGTGGTCAGTAGGTTGTATTTTTGCTGAAATTGTACGTGGAAAAGCATTGTGGAGAGGAGCATCTGCAGAATCTTAATTAAAATTAATCTTTGAAACTATTGGTACTCCTAATAAATAAGAAATTAAAAATTATAAAGATCCTTTCTTCTAATAAAAGATGTTAGAAGCTGTAGTTCATTTAGGATAATTTTAGAAAGTTCCACTGGACAAAATCATTAAAGGAATTTCTCCACATGGATATGATTTATTAGAAAGGCTTTTAGAAATTGATTTTAATAAAAGAATTACAGCTGATGAAGCATTGGCTCATCCATATTTTGAGGATCTTCATTCTCCTGAAGATGAACCATTTCGTCAACCAGTGAGTGACAAAGAATTTGAATTTGAATTGTATGAATTAACAACAGAATAATTAAAAGGTATTTTATATCTATAATTAATAGATATGGTTTATGAGGAAATACTACTATACCATTTTCCTGATTTTAGAAAAGAATATGAAAGAAAAATAGCTGAAAATGAAAGTGTTATTAAACATATCTTAACAGGATAAAGTGCAAGATTAATAGATCCATTAGCAGACGATGATTTTCCTGATTTTTAATGATAAATCATTGTTATCTTTCATGAAACTTATTTAAAAATTGAACTAAAATTCCTAATCTTCTCTTATACTCACTTTCTTATTATAAAAGATTTAACATTATCAATTTTATTATTAAAATTCTTTTTTCATTCTTAAGTGAACAATTGATTAATCTTTATAGTGTTTCTCGATTAAATTACCATTATTTATATTTTTATAAAGTTTTACCTTCATAAATGCACCTCTCTTTTCAAAATTCATTAAAGTAATCTCCATTATTATTATTATTCAATTGTAGTAGTACTGGCTAAATTGATATTGTAATTTATTAGTAAATTTATAAACCTTTTCTTCTATATACCAATGGTTTTTAGACTTTCAAGGATTCAGACTTTTTAAAATTGATAAATTATTGATCAATGTTTATGAAATATGGAAACTTTTACTCTTTAAAAATTTAAAAAGAGTTTTGCAAAGTATTCAAGTATGTTTATTAACTATAAGGGTGATTATATTTTCTTGGGAACAATTCAATTTAGCTGGTTGTAATATTAAAATAGCTTTTTGTTGCCATTAAATAATAAATATCATCTATTATATATTTTTGAGATTATAATGAGAAGAAATTCCTAAAAAATTTTAAAAGATCATAAGATCTTAATTATGCAATTATATATTTATTTTTCTTGGTTGTCTAAACAATATGGTTTTTAATATTACATTTAAATCATTAAATAATTTGATATTCTTTCAGCTTTAAATTCAAATATATGTTAACATAAACAAAGAATATTATACAATTAAAACATCTAAATGCTTCTTTAAGAACAAATACATTTATAGTGTAATTAAATATTTATTCAGTTAATATATTACACAAAATAAGACAAATCATAAGAAAAGATTGTTCACTCTAGTTGATCAAAGAAGCTTTCGAGATCATCCTCTTGATTGTCTACGAAATTCTTTATCATTGGATTTTAAGGTCTTTCGATATCTGTAAAATGAGATTCGTAAGATTAATTTGATGAAACACTAGAGGTATCTGCTCTTGAATGTTGCAATATGCGAACTAAAGGTTTAGGATAAGTAATTGTATGAGTATTCATTTGTATACTAAAATCTTAAAAAAAATATTAAAAAATACATTTTTCAACACCAGGTATTTATAATCAAATTTTAATAAAAAAACTTATAAACAGGAAATCTGAGCAATGAATTATATAGAAACTTATATATACAGAATAACCATATTAATTCATAATCAATAAACTATATGAACATGAATCAATACATTTTATTTAAGAATTAGTTTAAATATCATACAAATCTTATTTTTATCATAAATTTCTTTTTTATCTCTATAAATCAATTAAAAATTAAAAAGGTGATTTATATTGATTATAATGTAATTAAAAGAACTAAATAAAGATGTTAATTCAATTGAAAATGATGAAAATATATATAATATTTATAAATTTATAAAATTCTCAATGGATTATTGATATAAAATAATTATAATCAAAATAATTATTATATTTATGAATTAGAAATGGAGTGATTTATTTAAAGACTATAATTAAATATCAAAATAATTCTTTTTAAAAAGAAAATAATGATAGTATAATATATATAGAAAATTATGAATGATATAAGAATCTTATGGGTAAGCATTTGATAATTTTAGAATAAAATAAATTACATAAATAATTATTGATATTAATTATGAATATAACTATATGTATATGTTTATTTTCTATTTTTACATTCTCTTTGAAATCTCTATATTTAATGAGAATAGATAAAAATTGTTTTAGAAATGAATTTTACGATGACAGTTTATTGCTTGCATTGTGAAGTAATCGTATTGATAAGAATAATGTTATATTAAGAAATTTAGAAAAACGTAATTATTTAATACTTATGAGTTCTAAAGTCAAGAACCTCTATTTAACATTGCGTCTGCGTTTGGAAGAACTCAGAGTAGTGACAATAAAGACTTTCTAGATTGGAATTAATATTTTACTGTTTGCATCACTGAGAGGTGATTAAAAAGCAAAAAATCAAAATTCACTTTAACAATATGGTCTTACTTCTCAAAAATAATTACAATAAGCTTAATAAATCTCATCTTCGCTTTATAATCATAACTTTGGTAGTTTTTATCCTGAAGTAAGTAAGTTTGAACTAATTTTTAGTTTATAAGAGCCTCAATTACTTTATATTTGGTTGGCTTGGTGATTAATTTACTTCATACTGAAATCTTGAATGTAATTAACAAAAAATTCATGTTACAAAAATGTGTTGGAACTATAGTTATAGTGTTCCTCCATATCTTAGACCTTATGATAATTAATGATTACCTAATATTAAATTCGGAATACAGTAATCTAACTTAAGCTGTGTCAGATATATATGTAGATTCTGTAAGAAAATAAAAGGATATGATTTAATTATTTGAAGCAGTTATCAGATAATTGGTTAACATAAATAGGTATTCCAATTTTATAATGATTCAGATTTCTTTCAGTATTTTTTTAGGCATCAGCTCTATGGGGAGAAGGTATAAGAAAATTGATAAAGAATAAAAAAAAGACTTGGGGAACAACTGATTCACAATTATCATCTCCTTAGCCATAAGAGAAAACTTAATTAAATCAAGTACCACCAGTTAATGCAATGAATAATAAAATGAAGGGTTAAAAGAAAGAAGTTGTTTAGCATTCAGGAAAGAAGAAGAAAACATAATAATAATAATAATAATAATAATAAATAGAAAAATCTAATGAAGAAAGAGGGTAATCTATAGAGAAAAAGAAGAAAAAATTATTGGATAAAAAGTCATAAAAATTATCACCAAAAGAATATGAATAATAAATTGAAACAAAAATAGATGAATCATAATAATTAGTACTTTCTAAATAGGTTTCATTAATGTAAAAAGATGAATAAAATAATTCAACTTAAGCAGGTTCTAATGGAACAAAATCTTTATTTGATCATAAGATTAAATCAAATAGAAGTGAATCATTTCCAACTAAATTGAATTAATAGGTTGAAATTTCATAGAAGTATTTAAGATATTCTTCTTAAAATTAAAAAAAATAAATAGAACAAAAAAAATAAATTAGACCTTTGTATGATAAATTGTATAAATTCAATTTATAAACTAATGTTGATAAATATGAAATAAAAGTACATAGTATTATTGAAATGAATAATTCAATCAATAAAATAGCATAAGAGAATTCTTGGAATTCATTCTTAACAATTAATGTAAAGTTAAATTATTGGAAAGAAGCTTATTAATAAATGTAAACTTAAGAAATTAAAGAGGAATTATAAAAAATAATAGCTTAATATGCATTATATTTAATGAATTAACATGCTTAAAATTAAGAAATAGTAGAATGAATTATTATTTATTTATATGTGATAATGTCATTATATTAGTATTTATATATTAATATATATATAATTTACATATTTATATTATCATTAAATAAATAGAAATTATATATTTAAATCTATTTAATATCAATTTCAAAATAGATTATTTGTTTTATTCTTAATATTACAATCATTTTATTCTATATATTATTAAATATATTTAAGTGTAATAGTGATATATATTAATAATAAAATATAAACATTATTAAATATCTAATAATGTCAAGTTAGGCTAAAATAAATAGTTTATTTGCTGATCAAGAATGCCAAAATTGTAAGAAGGTATTAAATTATTATTTAAATTAGATTGAATCTGAATTTGAGATTTTGAGGATAGATCATTTGAAACTTTAAGAATAATATTAAAAATTATTAAAGGAAAAGGAAATGATATAAAGAGATACATCATAAGTAATACTTATTTATTATTATTCATTTAGACAGACAATGAATTAAAAAAAAATAGGTAAAAATTTGATTAATTGTAAAATGAATTAACTAAAATGAATGAAAAATATTAAATAATATAAGGAGAATTAGAAAGAAGTAATTAAAAAATAGAACAATTAAAGGCCAGAAATGCATAGAATGAAAAAGAAAAAGAAGAATTGTTATTTACAAAACCAGTAGAGAATCCTGAATAAAAATAAACTCTTTAATAAATAAGCATGTTATAAGAGTAATTAAGAAAGGCTTAACATTAAAAAGAATAAGCACTATCTATTAATACTTAATTAACATTAGAATTATAGTAATTAAAAAGCTAATAAAAACCTTAATAAAATATAGTATAAACAGTTTAATTCTAAAGAGATTCAACACCAAATGATAAGGTTTTGTAAATGGAAATATAAAATCTTAGATAAAGAATTAATGAAATGAATGTAGCTCTTTAAAAATAATAACAAGAATATTAAAGTTTATAATAGGAATCTAAAGAATAAATTTAAAATTTATAATAATAATTGGAACAATAAGATAAGAATATTGATTAATAATAATCATCTACTATTTAATTAAAATAGTTATAAACATAATTAAAAAAAATAGAAGCTTAAAATAAAGTTTTACAAAAATAATTGGATTATAAAACATAAAGATATAATGAATAAGTAATTTTAGATAATTAATTAAGGTTGATGATATTAATAAATTGTAGGAAGAATTAAATAATTGTAAAACAAATTAAATTGTTAATTTTCTTGGAGATGAAGAAAAAGATTACAAAGAAAAATACAAATAAGTTTTACATTAAAAGTAAGAACTTGAATAAAATTTTAAAGAAAAAGAAACATTTTTAATGTAAAAAATTTAATAATATGAATAACACATCAAATAAAGTAATATCTATTATTAATCGTAGAATAAGGTAATGCTGGTTTAGAAAATGTTAAATTGAAGGAGAAATTGGATGAATTAAAAGAACTCTAGGGAAAATTAAATTAAATATAGGAAGAAGAACTTACTTAAAAAGTTTAATTTTATTTTATAAACTAAGATGATTAATTCAAATTAAAAGAAATAATTAGATGACTTAATAAATAGTTAATATTAATTTAAATAGAGGGTCAAAGAATTAGAATCATAATTAAAATAATGTGAAGATAAATTGATTTCATCCAAATACAAAATAGCTGACATGATGAATCTTGCAATGGAACTTGGAATGACTTAATTACTTGATAAATTTGCTTCATTATAGTAATGATAATATTTAAATACATTATTTTCTATTATTTAGAACTTGATCTAATTATTATTTTTTTAAATGAAAATATTTATTAATAAATTAATAGAAATATGGATAAATAAAAATGAATGAATATTAATATCCAAAAAGACTTCATCAAAAATCCAAAAAAATATAAGAGAGTAGGAAATTAAAGAATAAGATGATGTAATAAATATTTTACAAAATCCAGAATTAAATTGTAGTATTTGCTATTCCTCTATAGTTGATTAAGTAACAATATATTTTACTTATAAAAAGGGAATTGTTTAAAATTGTCAACATGTATTTTGTTTCTAAGTATTAAAAATTGGTCAAAACAAAATCTTACATGTCCTTAATGCAGAGCTGATTTTACAAAAGTCATATTAATTTGGAAAAAAAGTTAGTTGGCTAATAAGAAAACTTACACTTTTAAATAACCAAAATAAAGTAATTAAGTATCAAATAACATCTTTTTGATTCAATAATTATTATAACTACTATTATTATTTTAGGATATATATTTAGAATTTGTAATCAATTCAGAAAATTAAATAAATTGATATTACTTATATATATATATATATAATTATATGAACTCTAAAATAAGTGAGAATTTAGCAATGGCATCATCTCTATCATATTAATTATTCATTAAATTTTTAAAGTCTATTAACAATTAACAAGGATTAATTAAGTCATTCGAATATATGACTACATTAAATTATATAAAATAAAGTGTATCCTCTTATTCCATAATTTAATAATAATAATGATCAATCTTATTGTTATTAAGGGACTTCAGCTGGGAAATTGGGTTCTGGTTATTCTGGAAGATCTGGTTATTCTTATTAAACTTATTATGGTTATTTAGGATAGAAATGATTATTTGTTGCCTTAAATCCATAACCATAATATAATTGTGATAATACTTTGTTCTATTATAAATTAAAATAGATTATTACAGAATAGACAGTTACTAATCCTGGCCAAACTAAAGATTTAATAATAATAACACCATTATTAACTTTATTATTAGTGTCTTTGGCTAAAGGATTATAATCAGTTGTATCACCAACAATTCTAATTTTCCAAGCTGGTTTATTATTTTATATTTTATCATTTGAAATAGGTTTTAATCTATTTTCAAAAGGATCCGCAGCTTCTATTTATTTTTAATAAGCTTCTGGTTCAACACCTTCAGGTAATTCAGAAGGTATTAAATGTACTAATCTACCACACTAATATAATAATAATAAATAATATACATTTAATATATTTTAATTAAAATGCATCCAATCATTTAATGTTTTTAAATCATGAAATCCTGGTAATTTATATTCAGGTGCTGGATCTATTTCTCTAGGTTCCCCTTCTCTNAGAACTTGATCTAATTATTATTTTTTTAAATGAAAATATTTATTAATAAATTAATAGAAATATGGATAAATAAAAATGAATGAATATTAATATCCAAAAAGACTTCATCAAAAATCCAAAAAAATATAAGAGAGTAGGAAATTAAAGAATAAGATGATGTAATAAATATTTTACAAAATCCAGAATTAAATTGTAGTATTTGCTATTCCTCTATAGTTGATTAAGTAACAATATATTTTACTTATAAAAAGGGAATTGTTTAAAATTGTCAACATGTATTTTGTTTCTAAGTATTAAAAATTGGTCAAAACAAAATCTTACATGTCCTTAATGCAGAGCTGATTTTACAAAAGTCATATTAATTTGGAAAAAAAGTTAGTTGGCTAATAAGAAAACTTACACTTTTAAATAACCAAAATAAAGTAATTAAGTATCAAATAACATCTTTTTGATTCAATAATTATTATAACTACTATTATTATTTTAGGATATATATTTAGAATTTGTAATCAATTCAGAAAATTAAATAAATTGATATTACTTATATATATATATATATAATTATATGAACTCTAAAATAAGTGAGAATTTAGCAATGGCATCATCTCTATCATATTAATTATTCATTAAATTTTTAAAGTCTATTAACAATTAACAAGGATTAATTAAGTCATTCGAATATATGACTACATTAAATTATATAAAATAAAGTGTATCCTCTTATTCCATAATTTAATAATAATAATGATCAATCTTATTGTTATTAAGGGACTTCAGCTGGGAAATTGGGTTCTGGTTATTCTGGAAGATCTGGTTATTCTTATTAAACTTATTATGGTTATTTAGGATAGAAATGATTATTTGTTGCCTTAAATCCATAACCATAATATAATTGTGATAATACTTTGTTCTATTATAAATTAAAATAGATTATTACAGAATAGACAGTTACTAATCCTGGCCAAACTAAAGATTTAATAATAATAACACCATTATTAACTTTATTATTAGTGTCTTTGGCTAAAGGATTATAATCAGTTGTATCACCAACAATTCTAATTTTCCAAGCTGGTTTATTATTTTATATTTTATCATTTGAAATAGGTTTTAATCTATTTTCAAAAGGATCCGCAGCTTCTATTTATTTTTAATAAGCTTCTGGTTCAACACCTTCAGGTAATTCAGAAGGTATTAAATGTACTAATCTACCACACTAATATAATAATAATAAATAATATACATTTAATATATTTTAATTAAAATGCATCCAATCATTTAATGTTTTTAAATCATGAAATCCTGGTAATTTATATTCAGGTGCTGGATCTATTTCTCTAGGTTCCCCTTCTCTTAAAATATATTAACCTTTTGGAATAATAACAGTAGATTATGTAATTCTAACAATTTATGCTTTTAATAAATGTTTTTCTTTTCCAAAGAAATAAGGATTTGTAATCACATCATTTTCTAAATTACCTGTAAACATATATTTAATTTATCTAGATATATTGATTTATTATGGTGTAACCAATGGTAATTCAACCCAATCTTTATCATTCAAAATATCAGTGCATGCCCAATATGATTTAGTATTAATACCAGATCCTCTTGGTTCAACTTCAGGTGGTAATTCACCATCTTCAACAGTACTAGTAGCAACTCCTTCAGCAATATAATAATCTTTATCTCTTCCCATAATTTTACCCCAAAATCTAAGTTTAGATGCTTATTTAGTAACAGATAATAACTAATATATTAAATTAATATAATTACTGTCAATGCTTTAAATATTTTATAATTCTCATCAATTCCAATACCAGCCCATTCATATAAATATGATTCTTCTGTTAAATTTGGTAAATATCCAGTTTAAGTTGATTCTTAAGGTTCTTCATCAGTTCCAAGATTAATTTTATTGATTAGTTTCAATGTCTTTTATTAAATAGCTTAATCCATAGTAACTTTTGTTCTCTCTGCATTATCAAATTCATTATATTTATCAAATGTGAATCCATTTGATTTTACTTAAAATGAATAATCTTCAAATAATTCAAAAGCATTCTACAATTATAACTCATAATATATTCATACTTTTGGATTATCCAATAATATCTTAGTCAATACATTATTCAAATGTTAATATAAATTTGTATTTGAATCCTTTATTTCTTGCAGTTTCTCTTTTAACATTTATCAAAAATTTTAA